ATATTTTGTCTACCCATACCTTTGGGCTTCAAGAATTCAATGAGAGAATGCCTTGTCTGTAGGAGAATGCCATGACTACTTGCACTTGCTAGCCCTAGCCAGGGAAGGGCAGAGTGTCACAAATGTCTGTGCTTAGTGACTTTAGCCAGGGAGTGGGAGAGTGCTGTGATTGTTTGTGCTAGCTTGCCCCAGCTAGAAGCAAGGTAGTGCTGCAACCGCTCACACTCTCTGCCTTCAGCAAGGCAGCAGGATAGTGCCTCAACCTTTCTTTCACTCTACCTGTATTACCAAGTCAGTGAGAGAGTGCCATGTCTGAGTGCGCCCACCTGTGCTATCAGAGTAGGTGGGGAATATAAAATTAGTGTCTGTCAGCACCTCTGTCTTTGAAGAGATTTTCAACTGTCCCCTCCCTCTCCATCAGATGCTTTTAGGTAGGCAAATAATTCTCCTTTACATATAGTGTAGGTGCTTTCAAACTGCTGTTTTTTCACTGGATCTCAGTATGAGTGAAAGAAGCCCTTTAAAAGGGTAGTCTCAGTTTCCTGTAGTGAATTGGGTCCCTTGGATGTTAATACCTTTGGTTTTCTCAGGTAGACTTTTCTGTGTGTGGCGCCATCTCTGAAGTGCAGATTCCAGGCATTGGGATGGTTGATGTGGGCCATCAATCCCTTGCTCCTCCAGAAGCAGTACTGGATTGTTAGATTCCTCCCTATTGTGTGTTGCCTTGCTGGGGAGCTGGTTTTGGTGAGACTGTATCTTTGTCTTACTTACTTGTCTCAGTGTGGTCTTTTTATGCTTTTTGTGGAGAAGTAGTTAGTTCATCTAGTTTTCAGATCTTTTTCAGAATGCCACGATGTTGCAGAAATCTTATTTATTTATTTTTTAAATCTTCTTTTGATCAACCAATTGCTGAGAGAGTAAGTTAAACCTATGATAGTGAATATGTCTGTTCTTGTTTCAGATATTTTGAGGATATGTTAATAGATGCATACAAGTTTAAGATTATAATATTTCTAGTTATTTAAGCTTTTTGTCTTGATAGAGTCACTTTATATCTAATAATGGATTTTGTCTTAAAGTCTATCTTGTCTAATATTTTTAAAAATTTTGTCTAATATTAATATAGCTCATAGTAGTTTTCTTTTGATTGCAACTTGTCCAGTATGCCCTGTTCCCCACATTATAGATATATGGTGTCATATTTTACATCATTTTATTTTGTGAATCCCTTGACTGCTTTTTTCAAATGTATTTGTTTTTACTGCTTTTGTATTTTTTACTTTTCATACTCTTACTTATGATATTTCCTTTCCACTCAAAGAGTCCTCTTCAGGGGCACCTGGGCAGCTCACCTGGTTAAGCCTCCTCCAACTCTTGATTTCGGCTCTGGTCATAATCTCATGGTTTGTGAGATTGAGCCCCATGCCAGGCTCTGCACTGACAATGTGGAGCCTACTTGGGATTCTCTCTCCCTCTCTCAAAATAAATAAATAAACATTAAAGAGTCCTGTTTAATATTTCTTGTGGGACTAGTTTAGTGGTCATGAAATACTTTAGTTTTTGTTTCAGAAATCCTTTCTCTCTCCCTTATTCTGAATGATAGCCTTGCTGAATGGAGTATTCTTGGCTGTGTATTTTTCCCTTTCTGCTCATTTCTTATATCATGCCACTCCCTTCTGGCCTGTAAAGTTTCTGCTGAATTATTTGCTGATAGCCTTATGGTGTTTCTCTTGTATACAAGTATCTTTTTTCTCTTGCAAACTTTAAAATTCTTTTTTTATCACATTTTTTTTTTGTCATTTTAATTACTGTGTGCCTTGGTGTGGACTTCCTTGGGTTGAATTTGTTGGGGGATGTCTGTGGATTGGGATATCTTGTTTCCTTCCACAAATTAGGGAAGTTTTCAGGTATTATTTTTTCAAAAAAAAACTTTTCTTCCCCCTTTTCTCTCTCTTATTCTGGAATCCGATTAATGTGAATATTATTACTCTTGATGGAGTGACTGAGTTTCCTGTCTATTCTCATTTTGCACATTTCTTTCCTCACCTGCCCTGTTTGATTACTTTTCATTACTCTGTCTTCCAGGTCATTAATTCATTTTCCTGCCTTCTCTAGCCTGCTATTAATTCCATCAAGTTTATTTTTAATTTCATTCATCGTGTTCTACAACTATTATTGGTTCATTTTTATCTCTTTGTTAAGCATCTCACTGATGTCCTCTACTTTTTCTCAAGTCCAGTGCATATCTTTATGATCATTATTTCAAATTCTATATCTAGCATATTACTTATATCCATTTCAGTTAGTTCTCTTGCTGTGGTTTGAGCCTGTTCTTTCATTTGGGACATATTTCTCTGTCTCTTCATTTTGTCTAACTCTCTGTGTCTATTTCTGTGCATTAGGAAACTCAGCTAGGTCTTATGCTCTTGAAAGTAGTGGGAAGGGTGCACACTTTTAACAAGGTGGCACTGGTCCTCTTCCACAGGGGGCGTGTAGTTTGTTTGGATACTGGGGATGTCCAGGGCTGGTTCAAAAAGCACACGTGGGTAGGGGGTGTGAGGTTTTTTTCCTTTAATGTTTATTTATTTATTTTGAGAAAGAGAGCGTGGGAGGGGGCCAGAGAGAGTGAGGGAGAGAAGGAGAATCCCAAGTAAACTCTGCGCTATCAGCATAGAGCCTGATGTGGGGCTCAAATCTCACAATCATGAGATCATGACCTGAGCTGAAAACAAGAGTTGGATGCTTAACCGACTGAGCCAGGTGACCTACCCCCTCCCCAGTTTTTGTATGTGAGGGGCTTAGTTTTAACAAGGTGTGCACATAGTCTCTGGGAGGTGATCAGTCATTGCCCCCTGGGACTGAGGCTTGGAAAATGTGTGGATCAGGAGATGTGTTGTTGGTGAGGTTAATGCTGGTCTTCTGGATAGGGAACCCAAAGTGTATGACTGGAATGGATGGATCTGCCAAATCACAGGGTGTGGGGCTTGGTATAAGAAAGTTACTTAGTGTCAGTGCTGCACTGGTTCCTTCAGGTGGCCTTGTATTTATGCTGAGGGACAGGGGAGGGAAATGTCACTTGCCAGCTCCTTTATTCCTGGAAGGGCCTCCCTGGTATCCCAGACTATCTGGGACTGCTCTGAGGTGAGTAAATAATTCTCCTTGTTTGCCCCAGGTGTGTTTCAAACTGCTGCTTCTACTCTAGATCTCATCAGACTGCTTATAGTGTTACCTCTTTAAGGGTGGGACTGAGCTTCCTAATGCCCTCTGGGGTCTTCCAGAGCTAAGACTGCTGATTTTTAAAATTCCAAGTTTTAAGTCCCTCTGGCTTTAAAAACTCACAAAATTTGACCTTTCTTGCTTTCAAAGCCAAATATTTTGGGGATTCTTCCCCCTGCCATCCCTGTGTGGGCTCCCCACTGTGATTGTTTCTTGCCAGAATTCTCTGCCCCTAGGTTCCCTCCTGACTCTGGATGCCCAGGGCTCTTTTAGCTCCCCACCAGGTCTCTGCCCTTCCTGTACTTTTTGTTGTGGTCTCTTCTCCACCTTTTGTCATGGAATTTGTTTTGCCAGTCTTTGCATTGTTTTCTGGGTTATTTACACTGATGTAAGTGTTACTTAGTTGTATCCACAGGGCCAGGTGAGCTTAGGGTCCCCTTACTCTGCCATCTCCCTCGCCTGCCAGTTGAGTTCTTTATTTTTTTTAATTTCCAGTTCCAGAAGTTCTCTGTTTACATTAGCTTTGGTAATTTTTGTACTCTCTTCCTCTGAACCCATATTTCCTTCTTTTATTTCTTTAAAAACAACAATAAATGTGCTTGATATTACATGTTCCATTTATACATTCTTTGTGGATCTGAGTCTGTTCTTTGTTGTTTCTGCTAGCTCTTGTCCAGATACTTCCCTGTGTTTTCTAACTTTATTTGCCTTCTTTGTTTTTTTTCTTCTTCTTCTTTTTCTTCTTCTTCTTCTTCTTCTTCTTCTTCTTCTTCTTCTTCTTCTTTAACATTATGGGCTCATATTTCTTGGAACTTTATCTGTTGTAATTCTTTCAAGTCTTGGTAGCTTCCTCCAGAGGGGAGAGATTTGTTTCTGCCAAGCATATGTGAGGGCTACCAGCTTAGAAGTACTTTAAATGTATTCTTGGTTTAAGATTTCTCCGATTACCCAGTTAGTTTAAAATGCTGCAGGTTGGGGCGCCTGGGTGGCGCAGTCGGTTAAGCGTCCGACTTCAGCCAGGTCACGATCTCGCGGTCCGGGAGTTCGAGCCCCGCGTCGGGCTCTGGGCTGATGGCTCAGAGCCTGGAGCCTGTTTCCGATTCTGTGTCTCCCTCTCTCTCTCTGCCCCTCCCCCGTTCATGCTCTGTCTCTCTCTGTCCCAAAAATAAATAATCGTTGAAAAAAAAAAAAAAAAAAAAAAAAAATTAAAAAAAAAAAAAAAAAAAAAAAAAAAAAAAAAAAAAAAATAAAATGCTGCAGGTTATATGAGCTCTCACTTGTGTTTGCCAGTTCTTAGGAAATATTTTTTTTCCTCTGTACTTGGTGCCCAGACTTTGATACAGTCAATTTTCCTAACAGTTATTTGCAGTGAACTGTTTATTCTTAATTCACTTTTAAGTTGATGATATTATAACTTTGAGATGCCAGCTTTGTAGGGTCCCCACTAAGATTGCCCACCTCAAGCTTTTTCTGGGTTTTGTTTCTTGATTCCATACTCCATGAACCGTCTGTTTTACAGCAAATGACAACAAGGTAAAAGCTGACTCTATTGTTTATCTCTGCATTTCAGCTGTGTTTTTTTAATTCTGGGTTTCTGAACAGTCTTTATAAACAGCTTACAGGATCATTCCTCCCATTTAAGATGGTTTTTAAGAGTATTTTGTCAGCATTTTTAGTTGCTTGTATAGGAGAAAGGTTCATGAGGATTTCTCTTCTGCCTTACTTCTGGAAAAGGATGTCCATCATTTTATATTTTTAACATGAACTTTTTTTTTTGTCTCTAGCTCCCCATGTATACCACACCACCTCTGCAGTCTAAATATGTTGAAGAGCAGCCTGGTCATTTACAAATGGGCTTTGCATCCATCCGTAAAACAACTGGTCATTATATTGGCTGGTGTAAGGTAAGTTAAGTTATAATAGTGGTTTAATGTTGGAGGTTTTTGATTTGTTCAGACACGTGATTCTCATGTTGCATTTGGTATTGTCAGAAGTTCTTCAGTGTTATTCATCAGGTGACTGGGCTAATGTAGAGGATCTAAGACTGCTTCATTCACATCTGTAGCGCTTTGTCACAGATGGCTAGAAGGCTGGACTCAGCTAGGAATGTTGACTGAAGCACCCATGTTTGCAGTCGTCTGGTCAATAGTTATTATAACTTTGAAGGTGTAGTGTTCTCAAGAGACAGTCCTTTTTTTTTTTTTAAGCTTATTTACTTATTTTGAGAGAGAGAGAAAGAACACAAGTTGGGGAGGGGCAGAGAGAGAGGGAGACAGAATCCCAAGCAGGTACCATGCTCAGCATGGAGCCTGAAATGGGTCTCAGTCTCACAACTATGAGATCATTATGTGAGCTAAAATCAAGAGTTGGACGTTCAACAGACTGAGCCACCCAGGCGCCCCAAGAGACAGTCTTTAAAGAGAAGTAATTCAGTGGCATTTATGATCTGTGTTGGTTTGTACAGCTTGAAACCATGATGAACAGGATGAACCTCTGCATGAAAATCTCTAAGACAAAGTTACTAATACCAAGATAACACAATAACAATGACTTATTTCTTTCTTGTCTAATGTAATTATTTCTGTGTTCTTTGCTTTGAAAATGTTTTTTGTTGTTTTTATTCCATGGTTTCATAGCAGCTAGTTTAGAGATGGAGACCATATATTTCAGTTGCGTTTCTGGTTTCTTCAATAGAGTAAAGCATGACTGTGGATAATTACTATAGGTAAATCATTCTGTGCCTTCATTTTCCTTCTGATGTAACTGAGATAGTACCTATTGCTCAGTGAATGAATGTAACTATATTTGTTGCCTTAAAATAGTTAGAAACAGGTAAAAGGAAAAAATGAAGACTTTAATCCCTTCAGTGGATTTATATAATCTTGATTTGTAGAGAGTTTATGTTCCTCTATAAAAACAAACACTAGTCTATGTAGGATGATTTCTATCTTGAGATAAATGTCTAGGTTTTTTTCCCATTCTAATGCACACTAAAAAAAGGAGAAGACAAAGCACTTTAGGCTTGTTGTTATTACTTTCTTCACAAACATTATGTTGTTGCTGCCATATCTTTATTAGTTAGATATTGCTAGGCTGAAATATACCTCTATCTCTGCTTTATTTAAATTTCATTCATTTTTTAAGCCTTTATAAAATAAGATGATAAACCTTTGTGTTTCTGCAATAAATTATCTGTGAGATGCTCTGACTGTAGGCATTACTTCACCTGTTTATATGAGGAAAATAGTAAATAAGTATTATTCGTGTTAAATAGAATGAAAAGCAAGAAATTAAAAGAAGCTAAGTAAAACAAGTATTCTCATAGTGAATAAATGGGAAAGTTAGACTTAGATTTGGGTGCAGTGGTAACTCAACACTTTAATATATGGTCTCATGAGATGTGGACTGTTTAATTGTCAACATCTTGAAAAATTCAGCTGTCCTTTTTTTTTTTTTTCTTTTTGCTTAGGGTGTTTATGTCTTTGTGAAAAATGGGATAATGGATACAGTACAATTTGGAAAAGGTAGGTGAGTGAACCATCCATAATTAGAAATGTTCTGTTGTCTTTTTAACTTGACAGATTTAAATGTGAGAAAAATAAACATGTTATGTTATTCATTTTCATGTTTTATGAACTGAGAAAATACTCTGTATAGCACTTTATGATAACAGTAACAAAGTAATAGTACCGATCACTTATTAAGCAATTATTATATGCAAAGACACTATGATAAACATTGTACATAATTTATCTAATTTAATTTTTATAATAATTCTATGAGTGTTGGTATTATAATTATTCCCTTTTTACAGATAAGGAAACTGAGGTTTAGAAAGGTTAAGTTGGTTACCAAGGTCACATAGCTAGTAAATGGCAGCACCTAGACTCAAACTGAGGTCTGTTTTAGCTGCAAAGCCCATATTATATACTCAAAGCACAAATTAGCAATATGTCTCCATTGTTATCAGTTAGTTTAAATAAGTGCTATTTGCTGTTAAAATATGTAGAATTTTGCTATCTATTCCTAGGAAACACTATACCCACTAGTCACTCTAGAATGTTTGAGCTAATGTTGGATAGCACTTGTATTTGACTCTTTAGTTTGATAATGGTATTTGGCAGTAGACATATCTTCCTAATATTCTTGGCCTCAGCCAGTTGTCAACATAAATGTGTACGGGAGACAGAAAGATCATTTTTAAATGTTTCCATTTAATGTGTTATCATTACTTAAGTAATGTGTTATCATTACTTAAGTATGTGTTATCATTACTTAAGGTATGTTGGAATTCCAAACTATATTCCTCATTTGTCTTGAAGAATACGATTAAATAAGTGATTAGCATTAAATAATTGTGATAGAAGAATGTATTTTCTTGAGTTATATGGAAACAAATAATTTATGTATATAAAAAGCCAGGAAATCTAGACTTGTGTCCACTCTTCATGTACTTTTGGTCTAGGGTCATTTCTAATCCTGATCATTGGTTTTAACCAAGAGCAGTGGCTCCTCTGGGTATTGGGGAGTGTGGCATGCAGGGTCTAGAAGTTACATGTATCCCTAGTTAGTTATTCAAAGTTCTCTAATAAAGTATTTCCATTCTTACTGGATCCTGCCACAGTTTGAACACATAATGCCAGAAGCATTTTGAATCAATGATAGGGATATAGTACATACACAATCAGGCATTTAGTTTACAGTAATTCACATTAAAGTGTATACTCGTGCATCATATTTAATTAAAGAGTAATAATTGCCTGTATTAAGAAAACAATTATCAAATCAGCTGTGGAAGGAAGATTTTATTTTGTAACAAGGACTATTTTAAACACTTTTTTAAATTACTATTCAAATCATTCTTTTGTGTAGCTTTTCTGAAGTGTTTACACCATCTGCTACTGTGATAACAAATTTCTTTAGCTTTTCTGCATCATATATACAGTGCCTAGTTATAATAAGTCATTTATATTAATTTTTAACTTATTTCTTAAAAGATGCTTATGTCTTTCTTAAAAGATGCTTATGTCTATCTGAAGAATCCACCTAGAGATTTTCTTCCAAAAATTGGAGTGATTACAGTTTCAGGATTAGCAGGCTTGTTTTCAGCAAGAAAAGGTAGGGTTTAAAAAAATACATTTTCTCTTTTAATACCAATATATTGTGAATTTTACTGTCATGGGAAAACCTCTTATGTCTTATTGAATATTGTTAGGATAGGCTACTGTGAAAAAATTTTGTCTATTTTACAGCATGTTTACTTTTATAAAGAATGTGTTTTTAAAAATATAGCTATTCCAGTGCTTGCTTCAGCAACACATATGCTAAAATTGGAACGATACAGAGAAGACGGAGAAGACGAGCATGGCCCCTGCTCAAGGACGACATGCAAATTGGTGAAGCATTCCATATTAAAAAAAAAAAAAAACTGGAAATCAGTTTGAAAATTTCTCTTGTAAACTTAAACATGTACTTACCATGAGACCAAGTAATCCCACTGCTGGGTATTTACCCTGGAAAAATGAAAAATCTGTACATAAATGTTTATAGTAACTCTATGATTACCAAAAGCTGTAAACAACCTTAATATCTTTCAGGAGTAAACTATATTTTGGCATTTCTAAACAAAGAAATTATATTCACCAGTAAAAGGAGTAAACCATTGACACATGCAACAGTCTTGATGAATCTGACAATAAGAAGCCAGTCTAAAAAAGTTAACATATTGTATAATTCCATTTATATGACTTTCTCAAAAAGACAAAACTATAGTAACAACAACAACAAAAAAGGGGTCAGTGGTTCCTAGGAGTTAGGAGTGGAAAGGTGTGACTATAATGTGATAGCATGAGATTTTCTTAAGAGTGAAAATAACTGTTCCATATCCTGATTATACTGGTGGTTATGTGACTATACATGTATTAAAATTGATAGAACTGTAGACGAAAAGTGTTGACTTTTCTGTATGATCATATCAAATACAATTTAAAAAAATATAGCTATTCCTATTAAAATTGTAATTATAATTACAAATACAATTAATTATGATTATACTTTGTTTCTCATCTTTTTAAATATTTTTTAAATTTAAATAAGTTACCATACAGTGTAATAATTAGTTTCAGGTGTACAATGTAGTGATTCAACTCTTCCATACAACACCTAGTGTTCATCACAAGTATACTCCTTAAACCCTATTCTGTTTAACCCATCCCTCTACTCACCTTCACTCTGGTAACCATCAGTTTGTTCTCTATAATAGTTAAGAGTCTGTTTCTTGGTTTGCCTCTCTCTCTCTCTTT